ATCATCTGCAAATATCATATTCCACGGGACTGTTTGAGGTATAGACTGTGCTAATACATCTATTACTGTAATGAAGAGAAGTGGGCTGAGAGCCGACCCTTGATGAACTCCTTCGGCTATTGTGAAGCCTGCTGAAGTACCTGTTTTGCTACGGACCATTGTTGTATGTCCCATATACATATCCTCTATTATTCTTATATATTTTTCGGGAACTTTTTTGTGGCGTAGCGCCCACCAGATAAGTTTTCTTGGGATTCTATCGAAGGCCTTTTCTAGATCGAGAAAGACCATGTGTAGCTTTTTGTTCTTTTCCCTGTATTTTTCACTCATTTGCCTAATTGCATGGATAGCATCGGTTGTTGATCTTCCAGGCATAAAGCCAAACTGTGTCTCTCCTATTTCGATTATATCTCTTAATCTTTTTTCTATTATTTTTTCGTATAGTTTTAGACAGTGTGACATTAGTTTTATGCCCCTGTAATTTTGACAATTGTGTGGATCCCCTTTATTTTGAAGATAGGAACTAGATGGCTCTTCCTCCATTTTTGGAAAACCTCTTCATTTCCAAGTATTTTATTGTACAGATTTGTGAGGAGATGTATTCCATCATCTCCTAGTGCTTTAAGGCTTTCTATTGGAATATCGTCTGGACCCCTAGCTTTGTTGTTTTTCATATGCTTGAGGCATGTGATATTTCTTGTTCCGTTATAGGTTGTACAAGGTTTTGACAAGGGGAGTGTTCATCGAGATGCAATATGTGGGAATTAAAGATGAGAAGCTCCTGAAAATATTCTTTCCATCTATTCATTATTTCTTTTTCCTTTATTATCAATTTCCCATCTTTATTTTTGATTACTTTCGGAGCTCCGTTTATATCCCTAGAGTTCTTTTCTCGCTGTTTGGCTAATCTGTATATTTTATTTTGCCCTTCTTTGGTATGTAGATCTTCGTACATGTCATCGTATGCCATAGATTTGGCCCTAGATACCGCCTTTGTAGCTAATCTCTTGGATTTTTTGTATCTTGACTTGTCATCTGCATTTTTGGATTTGTACCATATTTTATAAAGGGCTTTTTTCTCCTGTATATTGGTTTGTACCTCTTGATTCCACCACCATAGTTCTTTGTGTGATTTGTTGCCTCCTCTTGTCAAGCCTAGCGTCGATTTTGCAGTGTCTATTAATCTGGATGAAAGGTCTGTCCATATTTTTTCACTGACTTGTGAGCAATTTATTGTTTCAATGTTTGCATTGATTGCAAAGGCATCTGTCATTGTTTTTAATTTGCCCCATTTGATGCATGGTTCCAGTTTTATCTTATTTTGAGTGGATTTATTTGAGATTTGTAAATCCATGATTAGTAGCTTGTGTTGCGCGGCGATATCTTCTCCTGGGATGACTTTGCAGTCTATTACATCTTTTAATCTTCTGCGAGAGATTAGCATGTAATCTATCTGTGTTTTCCTAGTACCACTTTCATATGTTATTAAATGACTGTCTTTTTTCCTATAGTAGGTGTTGGTTAAGGCAAGGTCGAAGGCTTGCGCAAATTTCAGTACGTGCTCTCCTTCATCATTTCTTTCTCCGTATCCAAAACCACCATGATGCCTTTTGTAGCTATCTCTTGCTTTCCCCACATGCGCATTTAAGTCACCACCAATTATGACTAGGTCATCCTTAGGGATTTCCATTACAGCTTCATCAAGGATAGCTCTAAAGTCATCTATCTCTTCTTCCTTGCAACCCGTTTGAGGAGCATATACTGATAGGATGTGTAGTATTGATTGACCAATGCAGAGTTTTATCTTCATTAGTCTATCAGAGATCCTGTTGACTTCTACTACTGAAGAGGTTAGGTCTTGGCTGAGGATGATGCCGACACCGTTCCTATTGCTAACAAGTCCATTATAGTACAATTTATACCCATCTCCAATCATCAAAGTTTTCTGTCCTTTCCATTTCGTCTCTTGTATGCACGCTATATCAACTTTTCTCCTGTTCAACATTGATGCCAATTCTCTCGTCTTACCTTTAAGCGTCCCAATATTCAAACTTGCCAGTGTCTTCTTTGCTTTGACCTTTACTTTATTTTTCACAGGATGGAGGTCTACACCCTGCGCGTGGCATGGAGGGAACGCCCTAGCTTTCATATTCATATTTTCATTTGTGTCCTTTATTTTGTTTATTGGACAGAAATAAAATATATATATACTCGTGGTGGACGCCTATTCCAAATGGGTACAGTACGAAGAAGTAAGAGGATTGACAACCCAGGTGGTGGCAAAGAGGTTAAAAATCTTTGAGCGCGATTCGGAGTGGCGACGATAATAGTATCGGATGGAGGCCCAGCCTTCATTAGTAGGCAGTTCAAGTTATTTTGTGCTGAAACCGGAGTGAACATTTTGGCTCCGTCATGTCACCCGAGTTCGAATGATCAGGCGGACAGGGTGGTGGCGGTTGTCAAAATCTTATTACGAAAATCAAAGTATGGAGGAAGGGAAATTTGGATAGCAGTGGCATATTACAACAATAGTCGAAAGGGAGAAGAACAATCTCCGGCAGAGAAGTTTTTAGGGAGGCGAATCCGGATATTATTGGAATTATTAAAATTCAAGAGGTGGAAACGGAGATAAGTGAGACGTCTGAATTTGTAGTGGGACAGACCGTATGGGTCAGAATATATGGTGGTACAAGAAAATGGGAATCCGGGGTTATCATGGAGAACATTGGACACAAATTAAATCGATTAAAGTTCACTGACGGAAGAGAGGGAATACGGCATCGAGATCTGGGGAGATTACGATCAGGGAGTTATGAATAGAAGGAATTAAGTGGTCCGAAATTTGTGGTGTAAAAAATACTTAATATAGTGCTTATTAAATCCGATGAAAATCTGAGGGGGCAACTAGAGCAAAGATTGGATATGGATATTGTTTGACTCAACACCTGTGCGATAGATAATAATAATGAAAAGTGGATCAGCGATTACCTGCGAACAAAGGAGGGTACTCAGGAGCTAACTACCGTTCAAATTCGTGAAAACACCATGAAAGGACAATAATTTTGTCGGGAATGAGGTTGAAGTGGACTGGTTTTCGATTAGTGGAGGCGTGATATTTTTTTGAATTTTTCATATTCATTGTTATTTAACTTTTAGTTTTGCGTAATCATTGTAAATTTTTTTTGGTTATTTTGTCAAGTTATCATATCAAAAATATATATTTTTTGAAGAAGATTATTAATAAATCCAGGGTTGGGCAAATTTTCAGATAATTGTATTCGGATACAGATACTTTATAAAATTTTGTATTTAAGATACAAGATACTAGAGACTTTAGAAAAATTTCAATAAGATATAAGATACAAGATACAAGATACTTGTATTTTTTTTATAAAAAAGTATCTAAGATACAAGATACTTTTTTTAAAAACTTTAAATAGTCAAAATCAAAATGTATAAAGCTTTATTTTCTTATCTATAATATAAATTTATAAAAAAATATTTAAAATAAATTGTAGAAAATAACAAATTTATTATAAAAGATAATGCGATATTCCATTTAATAATTATATAATTATTAAATAATAATAAATCAGCATTATTTTTTAATATTATTAATTTTTCAAATGATTTATCGTTCAATCTTTGACGATTTGGTCTATTAACCATATTAGCAAAGCTAAATAATCTTTCAACGGGGGCTGAGGAGGGTAATATTGTGTTGTATTTAATAAATATTTCTTTTATATATTTATAACTATTTAACATATTTATACTCCGCCTGTCATCTTTCATATAATTTAGGACCTCTATTTCAATATCATTTATTGAATTATTAGAATTGGATGTGATACTTTTAAGGCAAAAGTAATCATCATCTTCATCAATTGAAGATTTTGTTGAAGTATTAATTTCAATTCTATACATTCATCATCATTGATGTCAAAGTCATTCTCTACAGCTTCCATATCCAAACTCCTTGAAAGCTTTCTTAAAGTTAGAGCCGTTATCTGTAACAGTTGCTATAACTTTTTCGCAAAACCAAAGTCACGATGAATTTCTTTATTATGATCATCTTGAAGTAATTCAAAAAATTTGCCATTAAGTATGCTTAGTTTAAATTTATTGTTATAATTTTCGGTTGAAGAATCATCTGAAGACGAAGATGAACATATTATTCTATTTTCTTCTTCCATAATTTTAAAATAGACAGATATAAAACGATTCAAATATGGTAGTTCTAATTGTTAGCAAATTGCTATATGACGACCAACGTCATATATCAAAAATTATCGTAAAATATCTAAATTTTGATTAAATTTTTCATTTAAATCTTAAAACAATATCATTTTAAATTTTAATACTATTTAAATTAACCAATATAATTTTTTTTAAAGTATCTGTATCTTTTTGAATACAAAGTTGGTTAAGATACAAATACTTTTAAATAATATGTATCTTAGATACTGGATACAAGATACTTTCCAAAATTTTAAAAAAGATAGAAGATACAAGATACAAAAATATCTTGTACAAAAGTATCTTGTATCTTAGATACAAATATCCGCGATACTGCCCAACCCTGAATAAATCTATATTTATTTTTCAAAATGTTCAAGATATAAAAGACATAAAATGATTATTTTTTTTTGTTTAAGAAGATTTTTATTATCATTATATTAGTTTGTTAAAATTAATAAATCATTGATATAAACTTGTTATTTGGAAATATATTCTGTAAGGAAAATATTATCAATAAATATAATATCTTATACCTTAAATTTTGTCTCATCTTTATTATGCCGAAATTTTTTTTAAAGATATAAATGTTAACAAAATCATTATTAGATTCGAAAGTTAAATATTTAAAAATATTTGCCTAAAAAAACGATGAATAAATGTGGAAAACAAAAAGTCTAGGAATTGAATATTAAGTAAAATTTTAAATATTCAATATAAAGAAATTTATATCTGATTATAAATTAATTTAATTTATATAGGGTAGGTAAAAGTTCGTTTCTGGCGATAAATATTCCCATGTTAAAAAAGTGTGATAATACTAAAAAACGCGATCCGCCGTTCTTTGATAATTGGAGAGAAGAAATTAAGAAATGCTTGTTGGACTCTCAAATTTATTTGGCGAGTAGTAATAGTAGTGTCGGAACCGAAGATAATATGACACATCATTTAAATAAGCACGAAATTGTGATCATAAATGCTGGATATCACGTAACTGCTGCTATAGAGGTTTTTTTTAATAAAAGAATTAAAATAATTCCTCCCGAATTTAGGTTTATTTGCATATTTTTAACGTTTATACGCCAAAATATCTCTGCATCCAAATTTCGAATAATTTGCTATAAATGACGATCTAGGAATTAGAAAAAAGTTTTGTATTTAATTCACAGAAGCAGGTATTCCTTTTTATTATTAAATAATTGTAAATCAAATTCGTGTTTACAAATTTATGGATTTTATTTGCAATTGAAATTCATAATATATATAATTATATACATCAAATAAAAAAGCAATAATATATGATATGAGTTTATAATTGATTAAAATTTTATTAATATTTCGAAGCAAACTTCTTCCACAAATTGAATCGAGCGTCGAAATTCCAAATGCAGTAAAATAATACTCCCCAATTATGGTCACTTAATAATTTAAGATTACGAGCAAAGAGTCATATGTTAAAGGAAAAAAGTGTTAATTATCAAAATCTATAAAATATTCGAATGATTCTTGATTTTCTATTGAATTTAAGTATTGAGTTGTCCGCCACGCTCTAGAATGTACTTCCCAAAAAATCACACAAAGATATTATAACTATAAACTTTACTAAATCCGAATTTTTATAATAATAAAAGAAAAAAGAAGAATTCAAAAAATAATAATAAATTTTAAGAGAAAAAAAATGAATTCAGAAAGGAAAAAAATGAATTCAATATACATTTCAACTTGCTTCCCTTTTATAGGGAAGGTATTATTTAGGGCTGTGCCGATATTAAATATCGGATCGGTACCGATATTTAGTGTTTTCCAAAAATATCGGATCAGACCAATACCTATAAAGAATCCGATCCGATCCTTTTACTAAAATTACAATTCTTAAAACTTTTGAGTAATGAAATTTGAATTATTTTACATCATATTTATTATTTTTTTAAAAAATATTTTAAAAAAATTAATAAAATAAAAAAATATATTTAAAAAAATAATAAATTTTTCCGAATTTCATTGAGTTTCTATTTTACATTAATAATATTTTTAAATAATTTTTTTTTAAACAATGCAAATGTTATTAATTTTTTTAAATAGATTTTAAAAGTTTTTTTTATAAAAATAGAAAGGAACACTTAAAGTTTTATTTATTTTTAAATTTTTTAAATAACACCAATTTTATTATTTATACTTTAAATAAAAGAATTATTTTAAATATGGTTTCTGAATTATGGAAATATTTTGATAAAGATAAAGAGAATTTTGCAAAATGCGTTATCTGCGGAATTTCTAATTTCACGGGGAGGAATAATGAAAAATTCATTTAATACAACAAATATCATTTAAAGCGATTCCATCAAATGGAATTCGAAGAGCTTTTACAAAAAGAACGATAAATATTAGAAAAAACAAATCAAATTTTTTAAAAAAATAGCCCTGAAAGTCAGCCAACAATATCAGCCATTCTTATTAATAAAACTAATATTTGGAAATATTCTGATCCTTTGCCTGAAAATCTAGACTTCTTATATTTATTAAAAAAAATCTAATATATTATAATTTTATATGTTAAATTTACAATTTTATAAACCAACATATAATAGATATTTATTATATTTATTTTATCTATTATAATATAATTTTTTTTAAATTATAGTTGAAATAAAAAAATTAAATTAAATGCATAATTCTTTTGCATTTTAAAAATATTGATTTCTTAATTACATTTGGTTCAAAGAGGGATGGTGAAAAATCAATACAAATTTCGAATTGGGTTTGAACCAATATCGGATCGGATCTGTGAAAAATATGTGGATCGGCACAGCCCTTGTATATTCATAAAAATATAATTCAAAACAATAATAAGTTAAAAAATTATTTTATAAAAATTATAAATTCCCAAAATCACGCCGAAAATCACATAAATAGAATTATATAAACTAAAAAATTGCAATACATAATGACCTCACAAAAAATCAAACTTTATAAATCTAAATATAAAATAAAAATAACTAAAAATTGCAATACAGAATAACCTCACAAAATATCAAAATTTATAAATCGAAATATAAAATATTATCGTGATACAACTAAAAATGTATAATATAATCATTGTTCACTATAATAAACTGAGTCAATTATGACTAAGTATTTCAATTTTTTAATTGATGAATCCTAAACTATATGTCTTGTTTTATCTATGGATAAAACATAAATTAGTATTTTAAATGGGTCTCCAGCGCTATCCTCATAATAGCAAGTCTAGAGAAAGCAACTCTTTGTTTAATTAAATTGAAAGTAATATTGCTTATTATTCCCACTCATCAATCTTTATATCTATAAGGAAATCGCTATGGTTTCCCAAAATTTTACGTCTTTTCATTTTTAAATTTTTACTTCCTTTCAGTCTTAGACATGAAAATTACCATTCATTTTTCCTAATTTAATTGGGCCATTGCATAACTTTCGATCAAAGAAGGTGGTTTATGGTTTCTCCCTTTGAATTTAGTTTATTTATCTGCCTTCCTTTCTTCTCGTCTTCAATGTGAGGTTATAAATAAGATTGTGAGGGGTAGAGATAGTCTATTTGAAACTGCCTGTGACTTACGGAAGAAAATTTGCGTTTTATCTCTTCCACAGTCCTCGGCACAAAGAGACTTTTTTAAACCCCATCTGGCTAACTAAGAAATTGGTGGGAATTAACCCCTCCCTTGAAGACACTCCAAGCCTTAAATACTTGGACAAAACTCAAGCCCTGAATGGCTAAAAGCTGTCTTTAGTGCCAATCTTAAAGGTGACCATAAGATATAGACTTGGTCATGACATATGTCTAGCTCATATATGCAAAGGGTGCGGGAAAGACTCCCACCTTAAGGCTGACATGGTCTAAGCTATTTAAAGGCCGGTTCAGTCGACATAGGGCTATTAACTTTATAATCTCGAATAAATTAGGGTTGGTCAATTACCCTAATCTTTTGAAACCCGTCCACTTATCCATATCTGATGGGGAAAGGCCAGATGTGTTCACAAACATTCCTTGGATTAGAGGAAAATACTTTATTTGGAGTTTTACTTGTGTACTCGATTTTTTTCTAATCTACATTGATCTGATTATTACAGCTGAAAGGTCAAAAATTAGAAATTATCACGACTTTTCATATATTTGTCAAAAAAAATATTTTCACCAGTAGCTTCAACGAGTTGGGAATATAATAATAGGCTGGTTCAAATAATTTTAAATTATTTGAAGGATTTAATCCTTTTTTTGAAACTACATTTTGAGAATTTAATAGTTTGGAATAATGATGTTCTTATAATATCTCATTATTTAAGCATATTAAATTATGCATTTCTAATTTTGTCAAATTTTCTTCAAGAAATTTTCATAGAATCTTATTTATTATTTTATATGCTTCAAACTATAATTAACCCATGTATCTTATTGTTTGAAAGGTTTAACGAATACCGAAATTTAGTTAAATCAAACAAAAATAATTTGGAGAATTTAAATGTAAAAGAGAATATTGAAGAAAATTTTGATAAAAAGTAATAGATCCTATTTGCCCAATATAAAAGAATTTTATAAAATTTTATAATTAAAATAACAGTTAATATAATCAATAAAATTGATTTTCATTTTGATACATTAAGAAATATTAAATTTGTTGTATTGTATTTATATATTAGCAAATTTCAAACATTTAATCAAAATTTTACAAAAATTTTATTGGACAATTTAAATGAAACTAACTTATTATCAATTTTCGATATACAATCTGAAAACGGTATTAAAGGTAATGTTTCGGGACGATGAATTTGTAAAAAGAATGTTGATAAATGTTGATTATACATACCGATTTGATAAAAAGTATAAAGAGTTTTTTTAAATTAAGGGTCATTCCATGTCAAATGAGCAAAAAAAATGAGATTTTCGGCCGACCCCCTTCGATTTTTTTAAAATTTAGTAAGCAAAGAAAGGTTAGTGTAGTTAAGAAATAGCCAAAATTTTAGCCTCGTAACATTTATATTTTTGGAGATATTAGGGTTCAAAGTGGCAAAAATGACGTATTTTTACCATTATCTGCCTTCATTCAATTAAGCATATCTTAAAAACTATCTAATTGTAAATAACAACTTTAATATCAAAATTACGTACAAAGATTCTACTTTCAGATATAAAAAAATTTTTTTTTTTTCAATTTCCGGCCATTTTATTAAATATATAAGGACTAAAAACGAATTTTTAGAAATTATACGACCTTCAATTTTTTTAAAAAATTTAGTAGACAACACTGAACTCTTTCTTTATATTTATAAAAAAAAATTGGTCTGGGACGAGGCCATCTTCATTCTCAAAATCGATAAAAATGTTTAGAAAAGTGTATAAATATTTTCCCGAAAAGGGGCGTCTTTGCATAAATTTATATTTAAATCAGTTTTTAATGGTTTTTCTTAGACTATTTGATATAATTTAAAGGAGTATTTATCTTGTAAGTGAAAATAACAATAAATGGGACTTTCATTCATTTATAGAAATTGCCTATCGATAAAAGAAATTCAATTTATTACTTTATTTATAAAATTTTTTGCTAATATAACATATATTAATATTAATAAAATATATTCAACCAAATTTATACTTCTTGAATATATGAATCAGAATCTTTAGCATTTCATATATGGCGCCCTAAATATTAAAAATAATTGATATAATATAAATTTTAAAATCTAATATATAACTCACTTTTAAAAGATTCTAATTTTTCGGTAGCGCATTTACTTTCTTGTGACGACAATGTGTAACTACGGCCAGTAGCAGTTAACGGTGAAACTAATGTTAAGATATGACATTTTGGCAAGTAGAGAGTGTCGTCTATACTTGGAAATGTAAAGGAATTAGAAGGTCCGGATGGGTGTAAAAACTTTATATATATTTCTTCCTCCTTTTGATTTTTCCCTAAAACTAAGGCTAACCACCAATTAGAATCATAAACACATGTTATATACCCTGATATTTCTCCAAAAATGATACTTTCATCATTATATGATAAATATTCTATATTACTTTCTATTGAATTGGAATACATTTTACTCTTAAATTGATGTAGACCTGTGGGAATCACCGTGTGAATTTTCTGTG